TATATATATCAATCTCTTCTCCTTCTTTTCTATGTACATGTATGTTACTCTCTTGCAACACCTCTAATCCTGGGTACTAATAAAATAAAATTATGTTGCAAGTGACATAAAACACTTACTTAGTGGGTGGTTAGCAGGTGCTCTGGTGTGGTTTGCTCCTTCTTTCCTATCAAACATCTATCGTCCTTGTTTCTCCTCCTTCTTTTTCTTGACCGATATTCTCTTGTAACACTTCTAATGTCAGACACTTATAATATGGCCTTTTTGTGCTGCAATTGCCGTAAAACAGTTACTGTGGGTGGTTGGCGGGTGCTCTGGTGTGGTTTGCTCTTTCTTTCCCATCAAACATCTATTGTCCTTATCTCTCCTCCTTCTTTTTTGTGTTTGTTACTCTCTTATATCACCTCTAATCTTCGGCGCTTATATGACCTTGTGTTTCAAGTGCCGTAAAACATTTACTGAAACTAAACGTGGGTGGTTGGCGGGTTCTCTGGTTTGTTACTCTCCTTTATAACACCTCTAATCTTCTGGCGCTGATATGACCTTCTGCAGTTGCGAGCGCCGTAAAACCTCTACTAAAACTAAAAGACTACAACGAAACTAAAATAAATACTCACTAAAACCAAACTCGTAAGCAGAAATAAACTAAGACTGTGTGATTTCCTCCTCCCCAGCTGAGCGGTGTCTGGACCCCCGCACCAAGATGATGGACCTGTACCACGTGAACCCGCTGGCCGACTGGGTCATACGCAAAAAGAAAGGGAGATAAACCACAGTTGCTGTTTTTACCGTGTTTTGCTCAGGCGTGGGTGGGCTGGTTGGGACATTTTCTTTTGGACTTCTGGGTTTTTTACAACTCGGAGGAAAATGTAATGGCTGCGTCAGGTGCTGTAAAACATTGCCTGCGTCAGGTGCTGTAAAACATTGCCTGCGTCAGGTGCTGTAAAAACATTGCCTACGTCAGGTGCTGTAAAACATTGCCTGCGTCAGGTGCTGTAAAACATTGCCTGCGTTAGGTGCTCTAAACTATTGCCTGCTTCAGGTGCTAAAATTTAATATATTTCCTGCGTCAGTGCTATGAAATATCACCTAGGCCGGGCATTATAGAATAAATAATGCCTTCACCAGGTGCTATAGAATCATCCTTGCGTCAAGTTCTATCGCCTGCGTTGCGTCTGATAAGATAATACCTGCGTTGGGTGGTATTACACCTGCGTTTTGTATTATTAAATAACACCTTTGTCAGTGTGTTATAAAATTACTCTTGCCTCGGGTACTGTAGAATAACGCCAACGTGGGATGTTAAAATACTGTCTGCGTTGGGTGTTTTAAAACCACGCGTGCGTTAGGAGGAGTGATTTCCATTCTCGTCAAACTCTTGAGTTGTTACACACTTGTGAACTGCGATCTCTCTGGATTACCTCGCTCCCACCTCGTGGATTTCTGCCCATCGCTGCCTGCTAATCTAGCCCAGGAAGAAGAAAAACGGCGTCGAGCTCAAGGGATGCGGTTTGAATCCCCGTCTGAATGTGACTCTGTGACTGTGAGAGATGGAAAGACAGCGACTTGTGAGATTGTGTTTTTCGATTTTTCCATAGAGATGGGAGTGCTGTTTTCTCGGACACTGAAATCCTCGGCTTCTTTGATGATCCGGCGTACATGTCATGTTACTAAAGATATATTATGTCTGTTATTATATATAATATACCCAATGTTGACATGGTTTAAAAAATTTTTTTTTTTTAAGATGTCGTCCAGTAATAAACTTTCGAAATCCAGGCAGAACCTTCAGATGTTTCTTGTAGAAGGTTTCTGGAGGGTTTCCAATTTTTCTGGCGTTAATGTAGAAGGTTTCTGGAGGGTTTCCAATTTTTCTGGCGTTAACCCTTTGAACCCGTTAGGCGGGTAAATCGGCCTGGGCAATATTTTACTGTATACCGTAAGGCCGGTTCACCGGGGCACGGACTTCCCTGAGTTGTGTAGTCTGTCGAAAGTACTCTCTTTATTTCTTGTTTGTCATCTTACAATATTTCCACCTTGGAATAAGGTCAACAAGTCTTTTTGTGTATGTGCCCCCAAAACACTGTGAACTTGGATGAAATTTAATAAAAATGTCCGGAATAGAGATTTGAGAAATTTCAAGATTTAAGGTTCAAAGGGTTAAGACGTGCTTGCTTGGTAGCCACAAATTTATGAACCACATTGTCATTGATAAGCAGAATAGGCAAAGACAGACGTGACAAGTGTGTATATTGATATGGCAGC